GCCGAGGCACCTCCAGCACAGGAGGACCCTAGGAGAATGCAGTCATCTTGTTGAGCTGAGAAGCACAGATTGGAGTTCAGGAGGCTGAGGTTGCCAGACTTGATAAGGAGTGCTAGAAAGTGCTAGAAACACCCAGAAAAAGGGCTCTAGAGATTTGTACTGAGGTTCCCTGGACTTCTTGCCTATGTCAGGTTTGCACATGCAGAGGTAAGGCTCCAAGAACCAAGCAAGGAGCAACTGCTGGGCACTGAAAGCAGAGTAATTCCCAAAGATGACGCAGAGGCGGGACATGTTCATATTACAGCCAGCCAGAGTGAGGAGACCTCATTGAACAGACCCCAGGAAATGCCAGCTAACCCAGCCATAGAGTTAGTGCTGCTAGACCTGCCCTAACAAAGGTGTAGATCTGAACTATCTAATACAATAGCCGCTAGCCACATGTGGCTTTTGAACTTTGAAATGTGGCCAGTTCAAACTGAGATGCGCTTGTAAGTATAAATAAAATTCAAACCACATTTTGAAGACTTCAGTATGAAGATAAGAGTATAAACTATCCCATTAATAGTTTTTATATTGATTACATGTTGAAATGAGTATACTTTGGGAATAATGGGTTAAATAAAAGGTTATTAAAATCTTTAAAAAGAGAGATAGTCCAGAGGTCAACAAGTAGCCAGAATGGAGACTGTGCAGGAAAGAATATGTCAAAATCCCCATTTAGCTTTCTTTCCAATAAAACCTACCCTTTTAAATATTTACTTTTTTACCCATATTCCAGTGCCTGACATATAATCCTGCCATAATAAATCCTCATATAATAAATAATCATGTGTTGTTTGGGTATTCTTGGCAGTAACAGCCTTCAGGAGAAGAATTATTTAACTACTAAAAGGGCTTTGAAAAGGAAGTAACTTCCAAGACACCAATGACAGCGTTAAAAACTCATAAACACGTTCCATTTAGCAGCAAAGAAAAGGAAAACAAAAACTAAAAACAAGCCCCCACCAAAAAAGAGATAACCAGAAATACCAAACTGTGATTTTAACTAAATACTTTACAGATGTTTTATATTTCCAAACATAAGGGGGAAAATCTTCCATCAATGGGAGTTCTTTAGGTGGTTCTAACTATCTGTTTCAGTTTATAACCTCTTCAGTTTACATCTATATAAATATAAATAGTATTTATTACAATTCACATTTGGTACGAACTTTCAGAAGTATGTAAACATAAAACTAAGAAAGTAGCAATGAGAAGGGCTTGTTTGTTTAAGAAGCTACAGGAAACGGCAATGGCAATTCCTAACACCTGAGTATGATTTCACCTTTGCTGCATATATCCTGCATTTGCATCAAGAGGGAACACGTGGGGAGTTAGTGAACATTCTGGGTGGGGACAGGGCAAAATAAGAATCCATCTTATCAGCTGTGGTAGTAGAACAAGGGTTCCTAATACACTTCAAAGCGACCTTCTGTAAAAGTAGTCTCTCCAAAGTATTCTAGAAGTTTCTAAGGGCAGCTTGGCTTTTAATGGTTCATAAAGTATCTCTAAGGCAGTACTTTCAGGTTTGGGGTTGTACAGGCTACCAAAATGCACATCAAGGAGAAAATGGAGTGACGACAATACTTTCCTGATTAGAATGTTTTGATACCTATGAAATAGGAGGATTACTTTGCTCCAGTAAGATGGCATACAATGGAAAATATTCAAGCAGTGTAATTTAGTCTGCATTTTCCATGTGAATCCAAACTTGAAATATTTCACAATGAAATGCCAAGTCTGTGTAAAGGTCTTTAAGACAAAAACCTTATTAAATTATGCATTCAGATGAATATGCAAGTTTTACCAAAAAATGTTCCTCTCAGAGTTGCAAACAAAGTTTACACGTATGGTAAAAATCTCTGGAATCTTCATGGAGAAGGGGAAGTAAGTTAGAGGCAAAGTCCAGTGATTGTAGCTTTCCAACAGGTCACGGCTTCTATTGATTCAACCTGTGGGTAGACACTTGTATTCACAAACATGAATTACATTCGTGCCCACAGTGTCATATGTCAGATACTACAGCATGTTCCCAAACTTTTCTCTTTTGCATACATTCATCCTTGTGTGCTTAAGCATGTGTGTCTTCCAAACAAGGTTTTAATATATCTAGGTAGGCAGAATCAGGAGATCCTCAAAACCTGTCAGTACATTTGCTCTACAGATCTGATAAATAAAAAAGGAAAACACACCCAGTAAAAAGGCGAGCAACATTTACAGCCAACAGCTATTAAAGACGTGTTAGTTCTCAAACACGAATTTGTCTTTCCATTGATTACTATGCACTCAGAACTGAGTTAGGTGTTTTTCACTTTAGGTCAAGCTTTGCCTCTCATTTTCACTTTTGAAGTTTGCATTTTCATGCTCCCTAGCAATGTCCTTTTGAACTATATCTTCAATCTTCTCTGCAAGAGTGCAAAGATTGGCTTTTTTGAGACTTCTAATCAAAGTCCGATATGCATCTTTCTTCCCGTGAAGTTGATACCAGTTACGGAGCAACTGGATTTTCTGTTCAGCTGTGTCGTGAGGATTGTCATTCTTGATCTCATCTATTTTGGCTTCATTGACACCATTCTTCCGAACGAATTCTTTAACTTGAGTTATTTTCATGTGTTCAGCAATACTACTGATATACTTATTCAAGTCAATGTCTGAAAAGCAGAAAATTGTCTCTGAAAATTTGTTTCTCTAAACAAAATGCCCGTTACTGAAAATTAAGTTTATTTCTCTTCTTATAGTACTTAAGAATACAGGTCAGTTCTAGGGATCCACAGAGCTGATTGGGAGAAATCAAGGACAGAAACAACCTTGACTTCTAATCCTGACTCCTTTTGTGTCCCCAGTAATTTGCTAATGACCTGGGCAAGACACATAACATCTCTGTGTCTCCTTTTCTCATCTGTAACATAAGAGGGTTGGAAAAAACCACCTCTAACATCCCTTATAGATCCAATGATCAGTGACCACAGCCTAAAAGGCAGGCAAAAAGTTTATGATCATATTACCTCTAAATTACAGGTGAAATAACAAAACTAAAAACAATCACAAATGCTGGTACAGAATTAGGACATACCAATAACAGAGTCTACAGTTCAGATTAGCCTTGGAGTCAGTTTAGATAGGAGTTCTAGATTACACCTACCTGCTTATAAATGAAATTTTTCTTAAGCTTCAGAATATAGTGTCTTATTGCTACCTTGCATTATTGCTGTATTATTTATTTTTAACTAGTAACATTAGTTATAAAGTTGAACAAACTGCCTGATAAACCCTTGGAAGAACTGTAAACTCAAGGAATAGCAAGACCCCAAAACATGTCCCTGAAATTAGTAACATTATTTTACTTTAAAATTGTCCTGTTACTCCTAAGGAAGCCATCTCTATGAAATAAAATGATAAAACCTTACCTGTAAGATTCATTGGCACCTTTTCCTGGGGAGAGAAAAGAAATGGAGGGAGGGAATGAGATAAATAAAAGTGTATTTAGAATATTTTAAATGTAATCTTGTAATTCTTCCTTAATACTAAGGGAAGTACAATCAGTTGCTCGAGGTATAACAGTGATTAATTAAGAAGGATTTTTTCACCATTCAAATTTTCAGTCAGAGTTTCCCATTTTACCAGAAATAAAGATTGGCTTTTTTTTACACAGGCAAGGAGACTAAGGAATTCGAGGAATGTGCTGAGATTATTTTTCATGTAGGCTATGAAAATTAATGTAGTAAACATTCTAAATTCTAAAATCATTATAATTTTTTTATTGAACTATCCTTATTTTGACTCAAAAAGTGGTTTAAGTGAAATTAGTTTGTACCAAAATAATTAAAGAACACTAGAGAACCCTAACTCCCACTGAGCCCTGGCCCCAAATGAGGAAATGATAATTCACCAAGTGAACTGCTTTTTCTCCCCACTGTATCTTTTGCTATTTGGAATGCTTTGAGCCCCTGTTGGGAAAAGATACATTGAGAGATAAGGTTACAAGTGGCTGGAAAGAGTTGAGCAGTGCCTTCATAATGGGCTCTAAGAGTTATTCTCCCTGTGCCTGGATTGGATACCGTGCTCTCTGCTATTTCTCTGCAGGGATAACACCAACAGGGAACACGGAAGCTCGGCCACATCCTATTTTCAACTCACACTGAGCACACTCCTCCTTACACCCTTTGTTAATTCTTATGTTATTTGTGTAAATGCTTTCATAAACTGGTCACTATATTTAACTGATTTTTTATACCCCTCTAACCTGCCCCCCCCACATAAACACAATAAATGTTGGTTTAAAAGAAGCAACAAATAAAAAGCTAAATGACCACTTTCTCTATTTTTCAAAGAAAGCCGATGCATGTTTCAACACCTACAGTAATCAAGGTCCCGGATTCACAGCCACCATCCTGTTTATTCTTGTGACACCTTTTCTTCACTGAAAAATCAAAAAAATTTCTGTGAGCCAGGTCTCAGTCTTGTATGAAGCACGTGAGCACATATTCTGGCACTAAGTGTGAGAAGGAAGGAGAAATGCATCGGAACTTAAAGTAACCAGCCACAAGAGTCAGCACTGTCCTGATTTTTGAAATCCCATCCCACAGGTCAAGTGCTCTGGAGAAACGCCACATCTCACTTCAGTCGTCCAATTTTCACACACTGGCTTAGCCTGGGGCTGGCTTTTCATTTCTTGTTCCTTGTCACCAGCTTGGAGTTAGGTGGTGTGGCCACAGCAGAGCACAGAAACCATGGGGCGTAGAAGGTCAACAGGACCTTGCTGGGGAGTGGCACTTACTGCCCAGAAGGTTAAGTACACACGCTCACACATCACTCAAGTACACACAGTCCATAAGTGTATGCCTTGGCCTCACTATGAGATGGAAAAAAGGAATCTCTAAGTCTCCAAGCACAATACAGTGTTTAAATACTGAAGGGGTACTTTTAGCTAAACGACTTCTCCAAGCAAGGCAACCTCTCTATCTTCACCTGAACTGGAGAAACAGGGACTTGTTCCAACAGAAAAGGGAAAATTGGATGCTTCAGAGTTATTAAAAGGTGGCACTACCCTGTGTTTGATGAATAATTGAAAGGGATTTTTCTGGAGTAATTACGATTATATCCAATGTTGACTTACCTGCTGACTTTACTGACTTACTTGATGGACTGAACTAGCCCTTGCATAAAATGCATTGCCACAGTATTTTAAGTTAAGGTGGAGACATAATAAAAAACATGGAGCTTGAACAAGGGAGAGGAGGCAGAGAGGGACGAATTTATCAAGTGTCCCTGCAATGCCACTGCCTTGGTGCAGTAAGCAGTGCAGGATGGCTTCTGTTCCTGGCCCACTGGCCACTGCCAGGATGAAAACAACCTTGCTCACAGGGAGGAGGAGGGCACCCCTCACAGTGCCCTAGAATAGTTATGCAAAGCCAGTAGGTGAGGGATCAAATCACCTGTTCTCATCACTCCTGGGGGAGCATTTCGTAGCTAGAAATTAACAATATACCAGAGCTATCTACCTGGTAGGAGCTCCCTTACAGGGAGGAGACGGGGGTGGGGGTGGGGAGGGGTGGGGTGTGTGCAGAGATTCTTGTGACCAACTACTTTCCAAGTTACTACAATCCACAGAATGGACAAAATAAGAGCTTACCCCCAAATATTACTATAGCTGTTGGAATCAGGATCAGGAGGAGCAACCACCACAGGTGCGATCTGGAGTCTGCAGACTGGAACACTTCACATTACATATGAAAATAAGCAATCTTTCAGGTTAAACAAAGGACTCTCAAAGATTCAAAAGGCAAAGGGGGATGGGAGAAAGGAGAATATAATCATCTAAAGAAATGATAACCTTCTTTACATCTGGTGTTGCTGGTTGGGGTGCAGTTCTCAATGACTCCATGTTCACACCTAGAAAAAAATACAGAAAAACTTCAGAAAGCCTGGTGGACTGATTCTTTGATCATTTTCAATGACACCCTATTTCTAGATTACATTGATCTAATCTAAACATTTCTAGATTAGATTAACTTAAGTATTTCTAGATTAGAAATATTTCTATAGCTGTTACAGATTCTTAACATAATTTGGATGTTTGGATGAAAAATACCCTAAAGAATGACTATGTTTTAAAATATCAAGAGTAAGAGGAATGTAATAAATACTGACATATAGGAACAAAGATGAAACAGACATAAAAATAAACAAAATTGGTGAAAAACTGCCTCTTAAAATCAAAACAGCCCCATGGAATAACAAAGTGGGCAGGCAGCAGCCACTGCCCTTGATGCTGCTCAGGGATCCCCCCCAGCTGGCCCGTGGGGGCTTCCCCTCTGAGCTTCAGGTGGCAGTCAGGACACTCAGAAGCTCCTTTGGGATTTTCTCCAAGCAGCCAAACACCAATGGTCAGACTGTCTAAATGATAGCCTGGCTCTGCCCACTACCTCACTAGGCGAGCTTGGGCAAGTCACTTAACCACTATGAACCTGTTTTCTCATTGATAACAAGGAGATAATATTACCTGCCTCAAAGGGTTACAGCGAAGAGAAAATTAAATCAAGATTAGGAACTATTTAGAATTGTTTTACTAAATTAGTTTCCTCCCCGCAATCCCTTCTTATCCAGTCATCATGAGGGCACTCTCAGACACTTTGGGCTATAAGGGAGAGGATAGGTTAACTGCACATAACTTAAACTTAAATATTCTAGTAAATGAGAGACACAAGCCATCATGTCCCTCCTTTTCAAGTGTACTAAGTGAAATCCTAAAGTTTCCCAAGTGGAATTACAAATTTAAGGAGAGAGAGGCACATGAATATAATCCTAAACACTTAAATTTATGCAAAATGATATCTTACCAAGCAAAAGCTATTTTTAAAGCACATATTATCTAATCTGATCTTCAGAGAAATGAGGCTGATAGGATAAGTGGATATTTGCATCCTATGAGTAAGGAAACTAATGTTCAAAGAGGTTAAGTGAACTGCTCAAAATCAACCAATTGATCAGAAGAACAGTGATAGGCACAATTAGGTTTTCTACCTGTGGGTCAAAACCACGCTCTTTAGCATTGGAAGACAGGCCCTTCAAGATCTGGCCCTGGCTCCTTCTCAGTCTTTCCTAACCCCCTGCCAGGTACTCTGTTCTCCAGAGCTTCCTTTTGCTTCTTTGCAGTTGCTGTTCCCCTGCCTAGAATGTCCTTTCCACCTGTGTACCTTTGGTAATGCTCTTCCTTTCCCTCCTTTAAGACTTGAGCCTGCTGTCCTATCTTCAGCCCATGTGTCCAGGCAAAGTTGAAAGGTTCTCCCATGTACCTCAGTATGCCCTGAGCACTAGTCCCTTCTGATGTTTGGCACGTGGCATTGAATAACCCCTGAAATGACTCTCTCTGCCTTTAGTCTGAGACCTCTGGTGCCAGAAACGTGTCTTGCTCGTATTGTTAGCTTAAGCAGCCAGCCCCATATCCAGCATATGGGAGATGTTCCAGAAGTGTTTGGAAAGTGGATGTTTGAAGGTACAAATGGTTACCTAGTTGTTTAGAGGCAAAGCAAAACTAGAATCCAAATATATAACTCAGCCAGTGTTTGAAGCAGAGAAAGACTAAAACTTACTTGATGCAAGGGTTACAGTGTTCACATAGAGAAATGTTACAGAAAAAGTTTGATTTACATCTGCACTTGGTATTCTGGGTCCGGGTACAGTTTTTTTCCACTTCTAAGCCTAGAAAATCAATTTGCAGACTATTAATCATAGAAGCTAGTTATAAATGGGCTATAAAAATGATGGATTTGAGACCCCCCCACCTTCGGAGCCGCAGTCACACCTTTTCACACCTTTAGCAACTGCAGAGTATTTAAATGACAAACAGGCAATCCCAGGTTGAAGTAGTTGAAATCATTTAGCAGAGTCTTCAGGGGACAGACAATCCAGCAACGAAGACAACCCCACCTTTGTTGAAATGGCTCCCTTGCTCATCTAGTCTAAAGCCTGGCTACTCAAAGTGTGGCTTATGAACCAGCAGCCCACAGGTAGGTACCAATTTCAAACTGTGTTACAAATGGTTCTACATGGAGTACCACAGTTGGTCTCTTTTAATTGCTTTTTAGGACACTTACCATGTTCTCCATCACAAATTCTACACCTTCTGCATTTAGAAGAATAATGTGCCTTGTCTGTGTATTCCTCCCCTTCTGGGCAAGGCATACAGTCTGGCTTACCCCCATCAACAACGCAGCCAGAAGCTTTCCATGTGCCTGCCCAAAAAACAAATGGAGCAAGTGTTTGAATGCAAGATGGTCATGCAATAGCACAGGAAGTATGCAGGGATGACAATCAAACATGGATAAAACACGCAGGTTGGGCTAATGCTATATAGATACACTGGGTGGGGGCGAGTTATTGTAAAAATTGTCAACAGACAGAATGTCCCCCAAGGCAAAAACTGAGAGTGCCTGAAGAAATGAACCTCCAGAGATAGGATGATTAAGAATAGGAGCATATAACAAAAGAGGTGAGAATGACCAAGAGCACTGGAAGAAATGCCTTTACCAACTTTTTACAGGAGAGGGGAGAGGTTGGTAGGTATATAGGCACGGTGGAGATGGCTACCAGTTGCCACTGAGATTACCTAAGGAATTCACCTTGCTCGGGCTTCTCATTTTCCTTTCCAAAATCCATAAATCCTGACAAGAGATACTATACTGTAAGGAAGAGAACATTGGAAGTTCTAAAGACCTTGGTCACATTTTTAGTAGCCAAAAGATCATTAACAAAGGGCTTAATCTCTCTAAGCCTGCATTTCTTCATGTATAGAAAGAAAGAATTATGCTTCTCTCGCATTGTCATCAGAAAGGCACAGGACTTTCCTTGTAAGTGCGCCTATTCCTTTTTCTTTTGTCTTTTTTAAATTTGAAGATCAGGCAGCATCCCATCGAGCACATGAGCAGATGCTGTCCTAGTTCCCTTTTCTGTCCTGTTTCTTTCTATTCCTTTGCCATTAAGGGACAGAGTATGTTTTGATGGGCAGGTATGAACAAATTTACAACAAAGTTTATTATCAGGTTTGTTATCTTAATACACATAATTTTAAGTAATAATCACATTTGCTTTGATTTACTTTAAAAATAAAGTGAGTCATTGTATTGCTACTAGTAAGCATCATACAACAATGCCTTCTCCATGAAAATTAATTTATTTACAAGCATTTATTAGATACCAATTGTGTGCCAGGCACTTTGTAGGAGATGCAGATACTGCAGGATAGAAAATAAAGCCTTAGTCTTTCTTCCAAGGCAACATGCAAATAAATATATGATGTCAAGTGGTAAAGTGCTATGGAAAAAGCTTGACTGGGGACAGAGAAGGAAGAAGAAAAAAGAAAATACAAAGGTAATGTTAAGAGGAAAGTGTGACTAGTGACCCTAATTATTAATAACAAACTGAAAATAGGCAGAGTGTAATCTGCCCCACTCGTGCGTACAGCAAAAATAACAATGCTGGCTTTTCTAGGTATATGGCTGTCTTAATCTCATAGAATTCTTTTTGATTAAAATACTTACTATATAAACAAATCATGTAATTTAAATACAATATTTTTAGTAAACAAAGACAACAGTCAGTCAATAGAAAAAAAAGTAAACAAATCACAGAAACCAGAACCAAATCTACATACAATACATCAGGATTTTGTAACATTGCAGCAACAGGTTTAAGAAAACTTAGCCCAAGTACAGTTTTATTTGCTTGTTTCTAAATGAACTAGCCTCTTTAATAAATTACCCTACAGCTTGTACCTAGCACAATGCCTATGGCATGATGGGGATACTATAAATCAGAAGTTCTTTCTTTCCTTCAATGTATACAAACCTAAATTTACCAAATAATGAAAATCACAAAATCTTAAAAATAATATTTTAAAATATATTTGAGTATAATAGTACATTAGCTTATTGTAGAAAATTAGGAAAAGTTAGGAAAGTATAAAAAGCACTTGTATATCAGCCACTGAAATACTCATTGATATAACTTTGGTGGATTCCTATGCATATAAATACATACAAAAATGCATGTGAATGTATGTATATGTAATATGCATGTGTGTATGTATGTACAACATATGCAGTGTACTGTAGGATCCTTCTTATTTCATAGGTGATGTGATGTTGACTTTTTTGACAAGTAAATCAAAAATATCAGTTCATATAGGGAATCACTAAAAAAAACTATAAATATTTTAAGTAGTAAAGTATAACAGTGTAAATATTGGCCAGTGTTGTGGTATAGATACAAGTTATTAGAATTCCAGATTCCTTCTTACTTAAGTCATATCCAAAATTACCTAGGATTTACTATTTTTCTTTCTCTTCCTTCCTCCCTCTGTCTCTCCTTCCTTCCCTCTTTCCATCCCTTCCTTTTGATGGAAAGAAAACTTAAAGACAGCAATCATCTGAAAGTCTTTCAAGATTTTTCTGATTTCTCCATTTTTGTCCTCATCTAATTCATCAACAATTTTTAATTCATCAACTCACCTGTACTGAGATTCTCCAAAACATTTGAAATAGTTTTCATAGAAATGAAGTTTTTCTCTATATTCATATATCAGATTTATAAAATATTTAATTAAATTACATGTTAATATCTCAACACCAATAAGCATAAACAGATTTGAAAGTAATCTGAATATTGAGAAGCCTAAAATTCAACAAGAGGAAATAGAATTGGGAAGTGTGTTTAGCATGTGTTGGACATGATCCAGAACATTTCAGAGATGGAGCAGAGAGAGTCAATTAATCCAGCCACCAGATCAGCTAGAAATCCCTTAAAGGAGTCCCTCTATGGTTCTATTAATCTATTGCAAATCCATAAAGGGAATTTATATATTGAGCTTATATCAGAACTGTATCAGAAAACATGACTTGGATTGATACATAATATTCCAGCCTTTAAATACTCTGAAATTTATTAATCTCACATCATTGGATACCATAATGAAATGTCATGCATACAAAATTTTTCTTTATTTTCGACTCTTTCTTAAGAAATTTTCCTATAAATCTATGACTGTATCAGTGGGTATAAACATTTTCAAGTTTTTGACTGACATATCCAAATTTCCTTCTTAAAAAGTTATTATAATTTACATTCCAATAGTTGTATGTGAGAGTTCTTATTTCACAAGCAAACTCCCCGGGACTGAGAGCACTCCTTAAATGAAAATAAAGCAAAGCAAAAAAAGCAAATAGACAAAAATCCGATAGTTTAATATGCAAAGCATATTGTTTTTCTTTTAATTTGCATTTTTAGGTTTAAAAATGTGAGTAAAGATCTTAGTTCATAAGAGAGGTAGATCACGTTTGGCAAGTTATAAAAAGAAAAACAGGAAGCCATTTTTTTATCCCCATTTGGAGAATACTAAACATAAACAGGCTTACACATAATGGGCTGGATTATAAGGGAGATTTACATTAAGGGTTATTAAAACCTGGACAGGATGCAAAGGGAGACTGGTAGAATTGTTTTATAAATGGAACCCATACCTGTTTAGCAGTTTGAGTCCTGGACACCCAGGAGGCCAACCATAAAACCTCCTACAGTCCTTTATGGTTCTATTAGTCTATTGCATATACCCATGTGTTGTTTTCCTCCATCTTCTTGTCTTACTTCACAATGCAGCTGAGAGAGATTCATATATGTATGGAGTAGTATTCAACTTTATTCCATGTTAAAAAAAAAAGTTTGCACAATTGTTTTTGCCTAACTTCTAATTTGCTCGTATTTGAAGGATTTGCAATTTGGAATTGGTTTGCATTTCAAAATATTGATTTTTAAAAATTGGTTTGTCCGTTGCTTTTCTAGGTCATCTAGTTTTTCAGCTGCAAAATGCAAATGTATTTTGCAGGCTTCAGTGCCAGGGCAAACCGTTTTCTTAGACACCTTCTGACTGAAGGAAATGCTGAGACGTAGCTCTTTACGGGTGGAAGTCCTGTGCTTTTAGAGTCCCATGCTTTTGCTACTGAAAATGGAGCTAAATAGATAAATACTTCATTTGAATGGTACATGTCATTTGTAACTTATGTGTATTCATACCTGCATCAAACAAATGTGATAAAGATGAATTATCTGGCCTTGGGAAAATAATTTCATGTTTTTTTTTCTTCCTGGTAATTCTATAATGCAGGAGAGCCAAACCCTGTAAAACCATTTTCTTCATGATTACTCTATGCTACTCCCTACTCCGATTTTCATTCTAACTGCTAAGTATTTTGGGTAACATACCTGGGAGACATGGCTGACAGCAGAATTGGCCATCACGATGCAGGCCTGCTGGGCAACCGGACTCCCCTTTAGTAACATTCTTACCCACATCAGTTACTTGGGCATCGTCCCCTTTAGACAATGCCTCAGCAGTAAAGGCGAGTGTCTGTAAAAGAAAAATGTGAAGAAAATGTTATTGACTTCTGAACTAAGCAATTTGGTAAACAGGTGTAAGCCACCCAAATGGCAATATTTGCTGAGCACAGGCAAAATCAAAAGGGGTCTCTGCCCTTCTGCCGACTCATCTCCAAAAAGGGACAGATCAATGCATGACAGCCCTCGGATTCGCCCAACAGCTCTAGAAGAGGTATCAGGGCTCTGGACTCAGAAGTGAACACTGGGTGCCACTTAACCAGCTCTGCGACTGGGTAAAGTCAGTTCAATTCTCCAAGTTTCTGTTTCTTTCTCTATAAAGTAGAAATGATCTCTTCTTCACAGGTTTGTTGTGATAATTAAGTGGAATAATGCACTTACAGCTCTTAGCACAGTCCCTGGCACATAATAAATGGGTGCCCAGTAAACACTATTCTTATTAATTATTATTGTTGTTATTATTATAAAGTTCCAGTGAGGGGCAACATGGTGAAGGAGGAAAAAAACATGAAATTTCAAAATGATGGCTGTTTGAATCTAAGCTCTCCTGTCAACATTGCAATTTTAGGCAAGTTAATAAACCACTGATCCCCATTCTCCTCCTCTGTAAGTGACAAGAGGACTTTCTATTTTGAAGGGTTATTTTGAGGATGAAGAGTTGTAATTTCTCCCAAGGCTGGTACTTAGCATATAGCATGTTCTATTTCTTCTTTCTGATACAAAATCAACAGATTAGATGAAATCCTATATGGTTATCCAGCCATACAATAAATCGAAAGGATTTTCTGCACCTTCATTCAGAAAAAATGAACTTCCCTTAATAGAGAACCAATCTTTAATCTATTTTGTTTCCTTTTTATCTTCTGGAGATAAAAGCCCCAAGTCCAAGTGATATTGAGTCAAATTTATCTTAGTCATAGACTAGAATAATTGTTGTTTCTCTAAACATAAATTTAAACATCCTCTCATCTCATGTGGAAGGCATAAATTCTATTGCCAAGCATGACACATTTTTTGTGGGGGGAGGGGGTAGTTTCCTACCACTACCATGTCTCCATCTCTCCTGCCATTTTTTAAAATTAAAGTATCATTGATATAGAATCTTACGTTGGTTTCAAAAATACAACACAGTGGTTCAACAGTTACCCATATTATTAAGTCCTCACTCCATCTAGTACTGTCACTATCTATCAATACAGTAAGATGTTCCAGAATCAGACTGTATTTTCATGCTGTACTACTGTCCCCGTGACCAACTTATATTGTGATTGTGAATTATTAGCATCACACATTTTTTAACTATTAGTTTCAAGGATTTTTTTCTCAACACCATTTATCATAGTTTTCATGGTACATATATATTTTTTTCTACTTTATGATATAGTAATAATACTGGCATCTTTTGAGTCAAGAGAACTAAATGTGCAAATCCCTCCCTGCCTCTTCCCTTTTAGCTCTTTCCCCTTCATCACTAAAGCCCGTATGCTCTTCAGGCCACAGGATACCATGGGGAACTCCAAGAAAGAAGGGGTAGAGGAGATGTGACTGCCCACTTTTCCTCCTGGGATGGATGTATTTAAAAATGCACTTTTAACATTCAGTCTTCTAAGAGGGAAAATGATACCAAAAAATACCAAGAAAATATGACTTGTCCAGGGTCTCTGCTTGCAAAAGGTAGAGCTAGGATTTGTCTAACTCCTATTATAGTGCTCTTTTCCCTACATCCAAAGAATGAGTGCACTTACCATAGACCATAGCTTACTTTCTATTTATGAATAACTTATGTAAAGGACAACTGGAACTAGTAACCAAATCAGAGGTATAATGGCTAAATATGCTGGCTTTACTATCTAACTACTACCTCTTCAGTCCAACAGACATTTCTTGAGCACCTGCTATGTGCCAGGTTCTGAGAATGCAAGGTCAAGTCACACTGATTATAATCTAAAATGTTTCCAAAAGCAGTCTTGCACATGGGCCTGTTATTCATAGTGTGTTAATAATCTGGGAATGTTTTACAGTTTATATTTGCATGACTCTTACTTTTTCAAATACATTTGAATCTATGATCTTCTAAGGCATAACATGCAGCTTTGAACAAAAGATCTTTATTAGCATCAGTTTCTCTTTTCAGGATGGCATTTCCCCTCTTATTTTCTCTACAGATCATCCTGTCATACTGTTAATATTGTTCTCTATTCTGAATCAGAGAACCAATAGCTAATGAATATACTAACTGAATTGGGCACTCTAGGAAATAATATGATCAAAAGCATACCAAAGGGTTAATTGCTAAGATGGGAAGCGCTTTCAAATGAAAATCATTCAAAGTTTTAGGATCCTTATTCCATAACTACCTCATCATTCTATGACAGTGAGGGGTTAAATATACGAATCATTCAACATCCAGGCAGACACTGTTTGAACCAATGTGAAAGTCTCTCTGTAGCTAGAAGATCTTAGAAAGTCCTGTCTGCAACAGATAATAAAAAATTTGCATCTACACAAGCAAACTGAGCAGGCGTGATTCTTTTCTGCTGTCAGCCAACCTCTTGCTGTGAAGAGGGAGTTAACAGTGAAATATTACTTGCTCTCCTTCCCTTTCAATTCTTGTTTCTCACCAGAAACTGAAGAAAAGGACATAGATTTAAACTCAAGGGGATTTACAGGGACTGAGCTAGCCTAAACTGACAAGTCCGAGGCACTCAAGGTTGAAGCCAATAGTGTGTGTGTGTGTGTCCCTTATGGTTGGTTATAGGGCCCCATCTTGTGTGGGGTGTGCTCATTGATCCAATATTCATGAGACAACACTATGAGCAGGTCCCCAATTCCCAATTTAAATGATCAAGTGCCTAGGAAGCAGCACATTTTCCAAACAATGGATTTTGTTACACTGAGGCTGTTTCAAAAAAAAGGTGCATATACTCAATGTCCAGAGCTGTCTAAAAGAAACGCACTTTCTAATTTATCTTGTTTCAGTTGTGAAAGTTTTGACTGGGAATCAAGATCCACTGTCCAAAATGTATCCAGAATTAGAGAAATGTGCATCCTGCAAAGAGTGTAAGACACCAACATTACCAGCCATGAAGCACAGATACCAGTACCCACCTCATCTCACACTTGATCTCACTTGCTTCACCAGAGTTGAATTTCTGAAAATATTTCTTATTTAATTTAGCATCAAAGAATTATGTCAAGTATATCAAAGGAAGACAGGTCTCAAAAGCACGTTGTGAGTGTTACATGATATGATGTATGCAACACTCCACTTAACTTAAAAAAAAAATTTTGTTTGCATTAGCTCAAGTTTGCAGTATACAAAGATTTAACCCAAACTTTCTGGTAGAAACTGGGGCATTTTGACTAAGACAAGGCAGGAAACCCATAAGGAACTAAATGATGTGAATGCTCAAAAAATGATTTTTTAGAAAAGGTTAAAAGGCCAGAAAATGGGTTAAATTGAAGGTTTAAAATGTGCATGGGAAGTAACCTAAGTATCCATCAGTAGATGAATGGATAGAGAAGATGTGGTACATATACACCATGGAATATTTTTCAGCCATAAAAAAAAAGAAATCCTGCCATCTGCAAAAAAACGGATGCACCTTAGAGGGTATTATGCTAAGTGAAATAAACCAGGCAGAGAAAGATAAATACCATCTGATTTCACTTACTTGTGGAACCAAAAACCAAACCAAAGCAAAATGAACAAAATAGCAGTAGTCTCACAGACACTGAAAAGTAACTGGTGGTTACCATGGGGAAGCGGTTGGGGTGGGAGGTGGGGAAGGTGAGGGGGATGAAGGGGCACAAAATTCTCAATCAGAATATAAGATGGTCATGGGGATGGTAATACAGCATGGAGAATATAGCCAATGATTCTGTAACATCTTTCTATGTTGACAGATAGTAACTGCACTCATGGGGGTGAGGATTTAATAGTCTGTGTAACTGCTGAACCACTGTGTTGTATACTTGAAATCAATAGAAGATTGTATATCACCAATACTTCAATAAAAACAAAATAAAATGTGGATGAACTAGGACAAATGAAAACCGAATACAAAGCAAATGAGGAATAAAATAATTTTAAATCTCCATCATAATAGCTATAAAAAATCAGATAAAATTTAATTGTATATTCTGCTGGGAAAAATATTAGCTAATCCATTAATTAAATACTTAATTGAACAAGTACTTTTTGAGTACCTAGTATGTGTCAGACAAATGCCTCGGAACAGAGTTGTGAACAGGTAAAGACCCTGCTCTCAGAGCTTATATGTAAGTGAAATGTGTTAGTCAGGGTTCTCCAGAGAAACAGGATCAATAAGGTGTGTATGTGTGTGTGTATACACAGAGAGAGAAAGGTTTATTCTAAGGAATTGGCTCACACAACCACACTGGCTTGTAAAATCCAAAATCTGATGGGGTAGGCCAGCAGGCTGGGTGTCAGGGAAGAGCTGCAGGAGTCCAAAGGCAGTCTGGAGGCAGAATTCCTTCTTTGGTGGACCTCAGTCTTTGTTCCAGTAAGGCCTTCAACTGATTGGATCAGGCCCACCCACATTATGGAGGGTAATCTGCTTTACTCAAAATCTATCAATTTAAATGTTAATCTCGTCCAAGAAAAAAAAAAACACCTTCACTGAAACATCCAAAATAATGTGTGAGCAAATATCTGGGCACCATGGTCCAGTCAGGTTGGGGTGGGGTGCAGTGCTGTTTTAGAAAGAGTGGTCTGGGGAGGCTGCTAAGTAAGAGGACATTTATGCAGTGGCTTGATGAATTGCAGGTAAGAGCTTATGTGGTTGGATATTTGGGAAGGGCTTTCCAGGCAGCTCACACCCAGAGAAGCTTGGCTTGGCTGAAGTGGGGGAAGTATTTGAGGTTCTCAGCAAAAACATCATTAGCAGCTACCTATTAAGATAAATAAAGATCAGTGTCTCTTGAACCACACAGGTAATGAACATTTCGATATTGAAGCTGTGGTGGGGTCACATAGCCAAACCATAACCA